ACACTCCTGCCCAACTTGGTGTCATCTGCAGTCTTGCTGAGGGTGTACTCAATCTCCTCATCCAGATCACTGATAAAGGTATTAGACAACTGACCCCAATACTGAGCCCTGTGGAACACCACTTGTGACTGGCCACCAACTGGATTTAACTACATTCTTTGGGCCTGGCCATCCAGCCAGTATTTTACCCAGTGAAGAGTACACCCATCCAAGCCATGAGCAGCCAGTTTCTCCAGGAGAATGCTGTGGGAAAGGTATCAAAGCGTTACTAAAGTCCAGGTAGACAACATCCACAGCCTTTCACTCATCCACTAAGCGGGTCACCTTGTCATAGAAGGAGATCAGGTTCGTCAAGCAGGACCTGCCTTTCATGAACCCATGCTGACTGGGCATGATCACCTTGTTGTCTTGTACGTGCCGCGCGATGGCACTGAAGATGCTCTGCTCCATAACCTTGCCCAGCACCGAGGTCAGACTGACAGGTCTATAGTTCCCCAGATCCTCCTTCCAGCCATTCTTGTAGATGACTGTCACATTTGTTAACCTCCAGTCAACTGAGACCTCCCCAGTTAGCCGGGACTGCTGATAAATGATGGGAAGTGGCTTTGGGAGCACTTCGCCAGCTCCTTCAGTATTGTTGGGTGGATCCCATCCAGCCCCATACACTTGTGTGTGTCTAAGTGGTGTAGCAGGTCACTAACCATTTCCCCTTGGATTATGGGGACTTCACTCTGCTCCCCATCCCTGTCTTCCAGCTCATGGGGCTGCGTACCCAGAGAACAACTGGTCTTACTACTAAAGACTGAGGCAAAGAAGGCATTAAGTACCTCAGCCTTTTGCTCATCCTTTGTCACTGTGTTTCCCCCAGATCCAATAAAGGATGGAGATTCTCCGAAGTGTTCCTTTTGTAGCTAATATATTTATAGGAACACTTTTTATTGTCTTTTATGGCAGTAGCCTGATTAAGTTCTAGTTGGGCTTTGCCCCTTCTAATATTGTTCCTCTTGCAAAGACAGTTAAAACATTATAGTAAAACTCTTCTGGGGTGAGGGGAGGGATTCATAGTGTTTTGGGAACCAGTTCAACAGTTTAGGCTACAAAGCATAGCATTTAATGCACAAGAAGTGTAATGCTACAGATCATCCTTACTTAGAAAAGATATCATCATAAATTCAGCACAAGGCTTTAGTTCTGCAGAAGAAGGATGTTTCTCGAGGGGATCATGCTACTGCTACTTGATGATAAAATTTCTTCACGTAATGATGTAATTTCAAGAAACAAATATACGTCAACTGAAAAACAGTTCCTTATGATCCTGAAAAGAAATCTTCAGGATGTTTTACTTCCTAAAGTCAAAGAAGTAACAGCCTTTCTTTGTTGATATGTCTGTAGAAAATTCCGTGAAACTGTCTTTTTTTGGTCTTTACATGCAGATGGATGAAAATACTGCAGAAGCAGTCTGGGACAGATTTCTTGATCTAAGTGCTAGTAGAAGGACTCCATGCAAATGCTTACTGATGTTCTGTTTGCATGTTTTCTTTGGGGGCTGAGGGAGGGCATGGGTAAACAAAGCGGCAGACTTCTGAAAATCTGTTTTCTATTATGTGAAATTAACATCCATAGATTTCTGCTGCTGATAGTTGTTTCTCTTTAAAATTTTTCTCTTGTGAGTGAAGACTACTGAATTTGCAGAGGCAGGAGGGAAGGAAAGAGAGTTTGTATTGGCTTTTCTAAAAAAATGTGAGAAGTTGCTACAAAACCAGCTGGTTTTCCTTCCTTTTTTTTTTTTTTTTTTTAGTATGATTGGTGTGGTTGGGGTTCTTCCAGCAGAGATAAAGGCTTCTCTAACAAGATCTTCCTGAACACTGGCTTGTGGAAGTTCACTTGATCTTTGAGGGGTCTGTTCTGTCCACCTGCTTGTAAAGACAAGTCAGCAGCTGCAGTGAAGCAATTGAATTAGAGGAGAGGTCAAGATACTGATGTTCTCGATGCTTAACTCTGGATAGTTGTCCATCTTGCACTAACGGGGAAAGAGACTGACTTTTGGAAAATACAAAAAAAAGGAGCAAAGCAGTTACCCAGAGATCTTGAAGACTTTCTACATACTGGCTAATTTGCTGTCTGTGGCCTTACGATCTTGTTTCCCTATCAGTGCATCATATCATGTTTGCACGTACACGAACATTTAAGGCTTAGTAAAACATGAGACTTAAACTCCAATGCAGACTGTTAAGTTTTTAATGCAGCCCTGTTATCATCTCTGTCTTCTCTGCTGCTCTTTTGTCCAACTGAGGGTATCCAAGTAAGGGAATTAGCAGTGTACCTGCCAGCATTAAATATAAAGCTCTCAACAGAATATATTCTAAAGAATAAGCAGTTAATAGATTTTATTAACTTGTCTTTTCTTTAAAAAACAAACAACCCCACCAAAAACCCCCAAAACCCACCCCACAAAAAACCCAAAACTTACAAAGCAGTGGTATGATTTTTCTGCCTTTTGTTGATGCTAATTTGGTTTTCAGGGTTTCGGAGGCCCCTGTGATTATTTGCCATGATAGTTTGCAATCCGTGCTCTCAGTAATGGAAGCAAATGTGGGATGAGCAGCAGCCGTGTTCACCAGAGATAGCACAGTGGTAATCTAATCTCAGCTTTTGCAGTGAAAGCTTGCAGGGGTCAGGCAAGGGTTTCTCTCTTTTTCATGTACCTCTGTGCAATTAACTTGGAGGAGTGTGTCCTCTGGTGTATTGGGAAATGGTGACATTGGCAACTTCTTGCAGCTTCTCAGAAGCTATTTGGGAAGCTGTTCCAGAAGTGAAATAGGCAGCTGGAGGGCAATGCTAGTACCTGACTGGGATGCTGCAACCTGGGCCAAAAGCAGTGTGTTAGTGAGTACGGTCATTGTGCACCTCTTTGTGCGTTAATGTCTATGTGACACTTTCAACCTGCAAAACACATAGCTGAGCTTTCTTTTGTGGCTTGATGGCAGAGGGAAGTGACTTGGTTTTATTGCAGTTGTGCTTAATATGCCTAGTAATTCTTTGCCTTCCTGATTGAAGGTCCATGATTACTTTCTCAGATTTCTGGTGGGTGGAAGTTTATAGCTGAGTCAGGCTGAAAGCATTTCCAGGCTAAAACTGTTTGTGTGGATATGTATATATACTTTAAGGAGAGGAAAGGACTCATGTTTGAAACTGCCTCTTCTATATTTAGCTGATACTCCTCCTCCTGCTTACCTGCCTCCAGAAGATCCGATGACACATGATACCTCTCAGCCGATGGATACCAACATGATGGCACCCACAATTCCCCCTGACATACACAGAGGAGGTAAAAACACTTCCTTCTTGTCTTCTGCTTCGCTTCTTAAGAGTAAAGAACTTTCAGAACTTACTATTTTAATAATTGAGTTTTAATTTTGGATGGGTGTTGTTTATGGAAATTTTTAGCCTTAGAAGAGAAAAAAACCAGCCATGTAATTTTTCTCTGTTGTTGTAAGAGATGAAATAGTAAATCTGGAGATAAAAAATTGTAAATCTAAATATTTATTTAGAACAAGAAGTTATCACATAACTCTTTAAAAATGTTAAAATGCATGGGGTTTATTACTGTCTTACTCCCAACCAACTCAACGACCAAAGTAATTTTATGTTTTGTGTCTGGAACTTCCACTAGTCACCAAACAGAAAGAATTCCTATGATGCTGCACACTTCTGTGTGCGATGCTGACATTACATCTGTGCAAGGAAAGGAATCTCCTTCTCTCTTATGATTACATTGCTTTATTGGACAAATGCAGTTAATGCTATATAAAGCCTACTGAATTGTGGATGACAGTAGATATGGTCAAGTAAAGACTTGATCAGAGAGTGTATGCTAATACTATCAGTTATGTAAACACCCAGAGACAATTTACATGGGCAATTAAAATACCTATATTTTCCCTCTGAGACAGCACATCTCATAAAATTGTCTTTTCTTATTATGTTTTTTTCCTGAATTCTAAACTTCAATACGTAAAGAGTATGCTCTGCTTTTAATAATTTACCTTTCCCCTGGTCATAAGTGTGCTTGGGGGTTTTTTTATATTTTGTGTTGTTCTATCCTCCCCATTTTTGTTCCATCTTTGAGTCATGCAGTGATAGCACTTGGTTCAGAATTCAGAGCTGTCTGCCTGAGGTGTGGCATTGCTACAGACTTTAAAATCTGTATTTAAAAAAAAAAAAACAACTATTGCTTTATGTACTGTGACACAGACATCTTTTTACACACTGCTTTTTAAAGCCTTTGCAGCCAGCCGTGACTGCTGAGTAAAGGATTTAGTGCATTCATCACATTGTGAGAAATAGCCCCTTTAGAGAACACATAAGCTTACACAGTTGTGGCCCATGCCAAGAAAGAGCAGCAAGCTGGATGCTGTGCCAGAATGGTTATCACAAGCATATGAACAATTTAACTGTTGTTTGATATTTTTTTTTTGTACTTGTCTTGTTACTAAGCTTAATGTCTGGTTTCAGGAAGTATATTTGCCCTCTTAGAACAATTTGCATAGCTTTTGTGCTAACCTATTTACTCTCTGCGTGGAATGAGTTTTGAATGTCATAAACCCCATCTGTAGCATTTCCACTTTTTGCTGATCCAATACACTCTGTGTGTATGTATAGTCCTTGCTGGCCCAAAGTACATTTATCAATGCTTATGCCTAACTGCAGACTTTTGCATGTTTGTCCCTCCCAGAAGATACACAAGTACTGTAGAATTCCTCTATCACACGAGAGCTGATAAAGAGACAAGGCTTTACATTTTTCTTCTTGCTTTTTAACGTTCAACCATTTCAAAATAAAAATTGTGTCTATTAGTATTTTTCTCTTCTAGTAGTTCAGTACAATGGATTTTCATCCCTGTCCCTTCTTCTAAAAAAACCAAACAAAAAAACCCCACCTTACTTCTGTGTGCCTTCACATGTTTATTATTCATATATGTATGCCCTATTTTTGCAACCTGCAGCAGGTTATTTATTTTTTTAAAGACGAGTTTTTACTGTGAACTTACAACAGCATTTTTGTTGCAAACTTTAGAAGCATGTTCTTCATGGTGATTTGTTAGTCTTAAGAGATTTGGTTTAACAAGCTGCATCCTGTCAATGAAGTTGGGTAATTTCCATTGTTGGCCCATGCTGGGAATAGAGGGACTAAACGCACCTGCTCTGCATGACTTAAAGCAAATGTAAGGAAGTTAGTATGAAATCTGTGTGAGAGAGATATGATTCATTCTGTAAGAATGGCCAGCTGGCAAGATTTCTTCCTGACTTTGAGAACTGGGGCAAAGCTGCAGCTTTGATAATTGCTGGCATCTTCATGGGAATTAAAAGTGTAGTAACCTCTTACTAATAATTAATGACTGATTTTTATTATTTTTATTGTGGTGGGGTGTTTTTACAGTGACATGAAAGGATAGAAAATGCTAGGGTATCAGGAAAGATCAGCTCCTTTTTACAAATGTTTTAAGGAAGTTATTGGTCAGCAGTAGACACTATTGTTCAGAAGTGATATAGGATGTGTTATCTTGCTTTTGATTATTTGCCACCTTTTGTATCTGCTATGTGGTCCTGGTTTGGGGGGGACTTTCTGGTTTTTGTTTTGCCCATGTCCGAAAACTCACAGCGGTATGATCTGTGAACAAAGGAAAATATGAACACTGGTCTTAGTTGGCTGATTTCAGTCAAGACTTGAGACCGGGAGAAGGAAACCTCTGGCCAGAGAAACAAGTTTTCCCGTAATACCAGTCTGATTTTCATTTTAGCACTTTGACCTGTAGTTGGAGCTGTAATTGGCAAAGCTGGTATCTTAGCAGTAAGTCCAGCTGTGCTAGGCTTACCAGTGCAATAGTCTCCTTCGTTTAAAAGAAACCACATAAAGCAACCACATCCCTTTGCTAGCCTCCTTTTGTTTGGAGGCAGTTTAATAATTTGTAGCTGTATTTGGCACTTGAAAGAATGTGCATTGGGTGGAGGCATATCTGGAGAAGCCTGTGCTGTTGTTGGACACCCACTGGGAAACTCTTTTTGGTAAAGACCTTCAGTATCATCTGGAGAAATTGTTCCCCGTGCAGAGTCACAAGCGTTACCTCAAGAGTTCCATGTGTTTCTAGAGCTTGATGGGTAGAAGTTGTGAACCAGGAATTTCGGCATTCTGCACAATTCCTAGCTTCCATTAGGAACTGCTGAGGAGGAGCTTCTTTTTACCAGAGTCTGGAAAACCATGCTCTGACAAATCCTTGCTGTTACTCAACAAGTAATTCTTTTGGTGATCAACAGTTGCAGATTTTGCATTTGGTAACATTTGATGAATAAAAGTTTCTCATTAAATAATATTTTCCTCATTTCATCTGCTCTTCAGCCCAGCGTAATTGTTAGGATCGTTGCATTATGCCTTTGTTCAGCCTCCGATCCCAAGCAGTTTGTATTGATATTGAAGATGTGCTTCATGCATGTTCTGCACACAAATGTCAATCTCTCTTAGTTTTTGAAGTCTCCTAGCCTTCCCCCCAAGAAGCCCAGGAGAAAAACTTGTGCATAACCCTTAAGGCTGCAAGATTCTTCTGCTGACTGTATATTTAAGCTACCTTGCTATACTTCTTGTCACCCAAAGTTACAAATGGTGTCTTGTGCAATTGTGTGATGCTGTTTCTCTCTGTCACTGTATAACTTCGTAGTAAGCACAGAGGTAACTTGTAATTTGGTAGCTGAGTAAAATGAAGTCGAAGTTCATTTACTAAATTGGAAAGAAAGCTGAGCTGTATAATTGCAGTGTTTCTCTGCTCTCTGGGCTCACACCATAGCGTGTTGTAGAAAATGCGGCAGGGATATTGGGGCACTGCTTGGTATGTGCCCTGGAGCTTCCCGCACTTTTCTGCGGGTATCATATGCCAACTTTTGTCTCCTGTGAGTCTTGTACAAATAAAGTTGAGGTGAAATAATTCTGTTGTATGTCTGTGCCTATGAAAAGTTCAAAAATATCTGAAAATAGAAGAGCCTTCATTTAGCTGCAGTTGCTTATCCAGCTCATCCTTCAGTGATCTTCAGCCAAAATCTGCAGGTTTATGAACCTTTACCTCTCAAACCTGTATTCCAGCACCGTTAGATTGTAATGTTTCCATTGTTGCTTTACAGATGTTCAGGCGGTTGCTTATGAAGAGCCGAAGCACTGGTGTTCCATTGTCTACTATGAGCTGAATAATCGTGTTGGGGAGGCATTCCATGCTTCTTCCACCAGTGTCCTGGTGGATGGCTTCACTGATCCTTCAAACAACAAGAACAGATTTTGCCTGGGGCTGCTCTCAAACGTTAACCGCAACTCCACCATTGAGAACACTAGGCGGCATATTGGCAAAGGTGAGTTTTGGATCTTTGCATCCATTTTTTGTTGTTTGGGTGGGGGTTTTTTGGCGGGGGGATAATTGCCCCTAGACATGACAACCTGGGACACTTACCTCAAGAGCAGACTGGTCTCCCCAAGTATATGGGATACGTGCTTGTGTTGGAAAATATTTAATTTTCTGGCCAGGTCTTATAAGCAAAGTATTGTTCTTACCTGGTGTGTAATTATAGGAAGCTTTTACCCTTAATCAATTTTTAATTGTCCAAATGCTATCATAATCTTAATTAGAATGAGAGCTTAAGATCATTTGTCTAATGAAATGTCTTGATTTATCTTGATTATTGGTGTATATGGAAATTGAAATTATAGTTCTTGGCACCAAATTTTTCGCTAGCCTTAGTTCCAACATAAATTAGCTATCCTAACGTGTATTTAGAGAGACAACCTGCAAAAAACCAGTTTTTCCAAATTCATTTTTCACACGCTGATGATTCTTTCAGTGGGAATTCTGTGCTTCTCTTCTATGGCTGTGACAGTGTTCTGCAAAAGACAAAATCTACTGGTTTTTGTCTGACTTTGTACAGTCCTCTTTTCTGAGTACTTGCCTATAATGCAAATGACAGGCAAAACTGACGTTGTCTCCTGCAGTAGGGTGTTCCTGCCAAATTTGCATTATTAGTAAACTCTAAATTTTCGGAGACAGTTGAGGGTTCAGCATGTCCAGGCAGCAGGGTATATGTTGTAAGTGCCAATTAATGAAATATCTCCCTCCTCCTTAGAGGAGGAAAGAATTGAAACTGAAGAGGACTGTCAGGTCTTCAGGTTTGAGCCCTCGGTCTGGAGAGCTTTTCTCTACATGAGGACTTGCGTGGCCCTCAGCAGTACACCGCACCTGTGCTGTGCCACTCAAGTCCTAATACTTCTTCCTTCTCTTCTTCCCCATCCACCTTACCAAGTATCAGGATATTTATTTAACACCTCATTCATTTTCCTGTTAAAAGTAACCCAGCTGCAAGCAGAGTTCTGCTGAAGCGTTTAACTGCATATGTACTGAAGCAGAGTGTGGAAGAGACAAGGATGCTGTTGAATAAGTAAACGTGTACAACTAATGGTGATGTAGAACTGTTAGTCTTTGAGGTAGGAGGCATAAATCCCAAACTTGAAGGCATAGCTGTAAATGTTTTTGCAGATCAAGTGGGAGTATATATAGACCCGTGGAGGTACATGCATAGTCAGCAGCAAAATCTTACATGACAGAGCACAGTCAAGACTTTCTGACTTGACTTCAGTTTAGCTTTTAGTGTTCACTTCTCTGACTTGTGACATTGTGGGAGGTGAACGGTTTAAGCAGCACATTAATCCATTTTTAAACACAAAAGGCAAATTTCTTGCTTTCTCAAAGCCTTTGGGATTGAGCCCTGTTGACAGCAGATCTCCACAAAGGTTCCCTGTATGTCGCTCTTCTAGGGTTTGCTGCCATTGGTGGCAGGTGAGGGAGCAGACAATTGAAGGGGCAAGAACTAAAATTGCTATGTACCCTCATTTGACAGATACATCTGAGGGATGTAGAATCATAGAATCATTTAGCTTGAAAAACACCTTTAAGATCACTGGTCCAACTGTGAACCTAGCACTGCCAAGTCCACAGCTAAGCCATGTTCCTAAGCACCACATCTACATGTCTTTTAAATACATCTGGGAATGGTGACTCAACCACTTCCCTGGGCAGCCTGTTCCAATGCTCAACAGCCCTTTTGGTGGAGAAATTTTTCCTAATACCCAATGTAAACCTCTCGTGATGCAACTTGGGGCTATATAAGGGTGACTTTCTTTTTCCAGCTTTCTGGAATTAAAGTGAGCTGAAAAAAACCCTCTTGCTACCCAAAATAGCATTCAGAACTTTTTCAGAGAATCCAGCTTGGGGCTGCTTTAGTATCTACAAATTATGCAGTAGGTTTCTGCTTTCTGCTTTTCGTTCCCAATTATTGTTTTACATACATATAATTAGAAAAATGTTCAAGTGGCCAAGCCATCCAATGTACTGCATCAAAACTAGTGCAGTGCTTGCTAGTTTGTTGGTTTTGAATATACATGTTAAAATGCAGGAATTACCGATTTCCGTTATTTATACATACAGATTCTCCTTTCAAATCACCTACGGATGAAACAGAAAAGTAAAAATCAAGTTTGAAGACAGCTGATGGTCTGATGTGAAATTAATGTTTATCTCTTTAAGCAGAAACATATGTCTGTGGAGACAGAGCATGACAAGTAGATACACAGTGTGAATTCGTCTAACCTCCTTGTGTCAACCTTCTCCTCCTAGGTGTGCACCTCTATTATGTTGGTGGGGAAGTGTATGCTGAATGTCTTAGTGACAGTAGTATTTTTGTGCAAAGTCGGAACTGCAACTACCATCATGGGTTCCATCCCACCACAGTCTGCAAAATCCCCAGTGGCTGCAGTTTGAAGATTTTCAATAATCAAGAGTTTGCTCAGCTCTTGGCTCAGTCAGTGAACCATGGCTTTGAGACAGTGTATGAGCTTACTAAGATGTGCACTCTCCGTATGAGTTTTGTAAAGGTATGTAAAAATCTGCTTGAGATTAATTTGTAAGCAAAATAAACTATTTTTAATTAATGTGATGATTGTGAATGGTCCAGTGCCTCCCTCTATCGACCTGTTAATAGCTGTTGAATTTTAAGTGTGGAATAATGTTCGTTAAGTTTAAGACAAATCTTAATGAAATGAAGTAGTCTCTGTGGACAAAAATCCATCTGATGCGCATACTTTAAAAGCCTGAGGTGACTTGCAGAAGGTGTTTCTTCACATAAGTCTGTAGTCACTTGTGAAACGTTTCTATCGTGTCTGTTAACTATTCTAATTTCATTGAATTGTCTCTTGTAGATTTTTAGTGTTTCAGTTGAATTTTTGTATTTAATCTGTATATATAGCAGTACTTGCATAATTAGTCTGTAATTATGGTGCTTGTCTTTTTAATTTTGTGGGATATGGCAAGATACAGAACAAGTGAGTTTTGAAAATAATTGAGTCTTTAATTGGCCTCAAAGTGGAAAACCCACCAATTAATTGTGTAGCATCAGCTTTTGCTCCTTTTTTTGCCCATTGTTACAGTCCATGCTATCTCCTGCTCTGTACGAAGCCCAGCTGAACTTCATACTTCTATTTCTGGGTGGTATTTTTGGAGACTTGAGCTGGGACTGAAGTGTAAGTCATTATAGCAGTTGTGGGAGTGTAGATAGCATAATCCTCTAAATCTGTCTTGACCAGCAGCTCCCAAATTAGAATAATATACATATCTTTCTATTCTAGGGGGGCATGCAAGGTCAAGATTTGTGATTTGACTGTGAGTGATACTGATAGAAATATCAGTATATTGATACTGATAGAAAAGGGCTGGTCACTTATATGAAAGCAATCGAATGAAAATGGTAACACGCTGAAGTGCGCTCATTGATAGGAGGATGGAAACTTTCAGATGTGTTAGGGCAGGGGTTCCTAAAATGGAATTGGTTGTTTATAGCTCTGCATCATATAGAATTGTATGGCAGTGTTGCCTGAACAGTTGCAGTCCTGCGTTGCACTGCAGAGTGTTTAGAGCTGCTGCCACCTGTGTTGGGAGTTGGGTAATCCCTTTTTTTGGGATCAACACACAGCATGGCAAACTGTACCTGAGGCTGTCTTCAGTCTTGTCTCCAGACCTGCCTCAAAAATGGTTCACTTACAAAATTATTTTGGATGCTGTTCAAATATCTGCTTATATCTGTGATAATGACTGTAATTGAATTGGGTATGAGCTGAAACAAAACCTATCTTGTCTTAACTTGAGAAATAGCCTGCTGGGGAATGACCATGCCCTCTTTCTCCAAAGAGGAATGTTTCTGACTTATTGCTTGGTTTATCGTGTACATCCTGCGAATGATGCTTTGGTTCTTGTCAGACAGATGCCTCACCCCCAATTCCATAATGTCAGTCTATGACCTCATTTTTTTAATTTGTTGATCTGTTTGGCAGCATTTCCCCACCCCACCCCCACATTTGTTCTATTTTTGGTCTTGGCAGAGATGATTTGATTATCCCCCCCCTCTTCAGAGGCTTTATTGGAACACCATGCAGCTGGCAGTGAGGTATGGGGAAATTTTTCATCTGCCATAGGTTATGCCTTTAAGAATTTAAGGACTTCCATACCAAGAGATCAAGAGATCTCAAAACGACACTTCCTCTCAATTTAATTCTTTCTTTTTAACTTCAGATTTGTTTGTTGAAATGTGATAGTAGTTGGTGCATCAAGGGTGTTACGCTACTCTGCTGATAATAACTGTTGAAAGCTAGAGTATTTTGGTAAGAAAGAAGACAATTGAAGTATACTTCTCACGTATTTGATATTATAAAATAAGGTGATTTTTTTTTTTTTCTTTCGCACTTATGATTCTGCTTCCAGGGTTGGGGAGCTGAATATCATCGCCAAGATGTAACGAGCACTCCATGCTGGATAGAGATACATCTTCATGGTCCCCTTCAGTGGCTGGATAAAGTACTTACTCAGATGGGCTCTCCTCATAACCCTATTTCTTCAGTGTCTTAAAAGGTCCTAAGCTCCTGCATTTTGGAAACAATTGAGCCTTGCATGTACTTGAAGGACGTATGAGTCAGACACACACTTCTCCCCACCCCCTCGAACTGGCAACAGCTGAATAAGAGCCTTGAAAATACTTGACTTCTGTGACCAACTGTTGGATTCAGAAGAAGAAAAGAGGAAAAAAAAAAAAAACACCCCAAACACCAACAAAACCCCAACCCCTTTGACATACTGTTGGTATCAAGAATTTTAGTTTACATTGTAATGTACTGTTGCAAAGTTGATTTGCAGGGCTTAGTGCAACGGGGACGACCGAGCCAAAACCACAATCTGTTGGACCGAGTTCCCGAAGGATCTTCCTGTAGCTGGCACTCTGAGATTCTCTTTCTTCCTTATGTTCAGCGCATGCTGTTTTCCCCTGTGTCCTCTGGGGCTAAGAGGCGATGTCAGCGAAGTCTGCTTTTTGCAGGCTCTCTGCAGTACATTTTAAAACCATTTGTCTAAGTTGATGGTTGCTGTTCTCTTTAAAAGAAAAAAAAAAGTCATAAAGTTTAATCTCAATAACTATGTAATTATCTTTGAAATTGTGTCCTGACCATACTGCTGTAAGAATGTTAGGTATGTTTTTTGCTAAATGTATGTACGGTGTATTTGAAAGTTTAGAAATTAATTAGATTTAGACCATAAAGGAATTAGGAGTATTTGAATGGGGGGGGAGGTGGGAGTGGGAAGGGAAAATGACAACTGAACTGTAGAATATATTGTAAACATAGCTTGTTAGTTTAAACTGAGGTCTGAGTTTTGCTGTGCATTTCATTTTTGTAGTGGCTTCATCTTGTTAATTCTGACTATTTTTGCCTCTTCGTTTTCCCCCAAAATGATTGCACACCTGGTTAATTCTTTTACCTGTGAAGAGGACAAAACGATTAATTCCTGCAGTTTTAAGGCTGCACCTCTATGTATTTCAAGACAAAATTGTACAGAGTGCTCTTTAACTATTGAGCAGTTTTATACAGTTTATGTAACAGAAGTAGGCTTTTAATTTTGTAAGAGAATCTTGTTTTGCCAAACCTAGTAACCATTAATTGTTTGGAGGACTTCGAAATCCCTGTGTGGGTCTATTTCAAACTTAAAGAAAATATATATTTTTAATTTTTACTTTTTTTTTTACTGCTTTGTTCATTTTCTTCTCTTTGACCTTTTATATTCATGTAAGCTGTAATACTTTTAGTACCTTTATTCCAAAACTAGTGGGTCCTCTTTACTGGAAGTTTTGAATAAAACCTGTTGTTACTGCTTACATTTGATTAAAACCTTGTCTTGTCCACTTCTTAGTAGATTCTTAACAAACCAGATAAAGATATGGTCTTGGAGGAGGAACAGCTAGAAATGAAGATACGCTCAGCTTAGACATTTATTATTAGTACAGGTTAGTAACCTTAATAAACTCAGTATATGAGATAAATGAGTACTCTAGAGAGAAAGACTTCTTAACCAGGCAAGATTAGGGTGGATGCAGTTAACACTGAAGTATCCTAGCCACTTAGTTAAATTTCTGTGAGATTTTAACATACAATATCTGTATGAAAAGGGATTTTCCTGAGGTTGCACCATCAGCGGGTTCTCGCTGCTCCGTGCCATGGTTGTGACAAAGAGCCTCCGTGCTCCTTTCTCCACACCTCTGCCTTTGCTCTGGGGAGAGGTGAGGGAAGGACTGTCCCTTTGCAGCTGCCAAGTGTCCATCAGGTGCTGGGATGATGGAGTTTGAGACTGGGGGTTGACTGGAGATCCTGTGCCTGGCTATAATAGACCATGCAGCGCTAACAGGAGCATGACGGAAAGCTGAGCAACAGAGATGAATGTGTGTTCAGCCAGATGTATGCATGTGTATGTCACTGCAATGAGTAATAGCCCTTTTTGGAGAGTGAGTCAATCCTATGTCTTTTTTTTTTTTAAGTTAATTCCATTGCTTGGTTCAGTGCACATTTTTAAAACTCACCCTTCTTTCCCTGCTAAGGGGAAAAAAAAATCCATAATGTCCAAGTTCCCTATTTAGGAGAACTTGGTGAGTGACTTTTTTTTTTATTTTGTATTTCTTTATTTTTTTTTAAATTCAGTTTAACATTTATTTTTCATAAAGCAGCAGTCATAGCACAAATGCAAGTCTTAAGTAAAATTTAAAGACGACCAAAAAGAATGCTGTTTGCTGTTCAGTGACTATCTCTGTTTTTTCCATCTTCAGCCCCTGCTACATTAATTCCCAGCTGTTCCCAACCAGTTTCCTTCCTTCTGTTGGAATACAGCACTGGGGTAGTGACTTTTTTTTTTTAATCAGTGCTTTAACCATCCATCATGCAAGTCTTAAGAGTGTTTCTGTTAGGATATTTTCGTATTTGGATGATCCTGTGCAAGTTTTGGTAAACTTTGAAATAGCTTTGGAGTAAGAAAAGACAGTTTTATGTTGTGACTAGTTTTGAATGTTAGCGTCTTGTATGTTTTGGGCTGTAATGCCCCTCTGTTTTTCCTAAACAGGGATTAAAATCAGAAAATACTAGCTCTGCAGCATCTCAGAAACTTTCAGTGGTAATACTTCTGCAATGTCCTAATTTTTTTAAGTTCCTTCTGTTGTGAATTTTTCTATGCTGTTGATACTGTTGAAGTGCAGTGTCCATAATACTTTCTTTATCTGTTATCCAGCTTTTTGTTTGTGGTGAGGAGACATTAGTGTAAGGAAAAAGTGTACCTTCATGTGATGGCACAGAGTATCCCAGCTGCACTTTATTAAATAAGCTGAGTGGATTGGAGTAGCACCTGAGACTAACAGCCAGAAAAATAGGAGGTAGGACAGCAGTTTCCTTGGAGGAGGCAACTGCTAGCTTGAGGCTTTTGTGAAGATTTTTGGAGTATCTTGGAGAAGTTTTCTTACTGATTTGCCCCACTTCAGATAGTTGGAGTCAGAAAGCTGGAAGAGGCAAAGGACAAGACAGAAGAAAAAGAGTTTCTTGCTGACCTCTCACAAAATGGAGAATGATGAGAGGCAGAAACTTGGAGAGAGCCTACGGTGTCAACTCTGTAACCAGGTGAGTCCCTGCTGCCTATTTGGTTTTATTTCCCCATAGTTTCCTGGGTCTAGTCTCCTGAACAACAGAATTAAACACAGAAGGCACTGCTTCAAGGTGAAGAGCGAAGATGGTCCCTGTTAGGAGAAACTGAAAAGGTATGGATAACTGTTTTAGAAAAAGAATTGAGGAAGAGCAGTGAACAGTAGATGTGGAGACAAATACTTCCATGGAGCTGAGTGTGTTTGAAATCTGTGCTTTGGCTTTGAAGTGCTGGAAAGAAAATAATTCTCCCCAGGTAGAGATGACTTTTTAGCTGTTTAAAAGTCTCTGGTGAACCTTTAAAAGACTTGATGAAAGCTAAGAGAAGTAGTCGTGGTTCCTTGTGTGGTTTTAGGAAGGGAAGAAGAGAAATAATTCATGTTTTAACATATCCTGTATCAGAATCATAGACCTGATCTTCTAATGCTCACTAGCGTGGTATTGCTATCTAGTTTGATAAAGCCATTCCCTTACTAAATCACTTCTCTGCTACTGTAGCTATGTTTTCACAACTGCAGTTGTCTTTTCTAGCCTGAAACAATATAGTTCTGTGACTATTGTCGTTTGAAGACAATAAATGAATGCAGAGATGTCTGAAATTTATACAGCCCTTTCTTGGTGTGCCTGTCTCCTTGCTTTTTTCCTTTGTCTTGCCACACTTAAAACGTTTGATCGACATCTTGGAAGTTGGCTGTGTTTTGATGATCTCTATTACTTGCTGCTGGTTCATTCTGTTCAGCACACTGTAGCCTCTTATTCTGCTCTTGAGATTCATGATTCATAACCATGAACTGGCAGCCACCTTCTTCTGGATGAGTGCCTAAATATACAACATAACTCTACCATCACCAGTCATGGTAGAGCAATATATTTTTTACATGCATCATCTCACAGTTCATTTTCTTCAAATACATTTGTAATTCTGAGCAGGAGAGAAGTGAAAATGGCTCTTATTTTACACCATCCCCTTCTGTCCTTGACTTAACGGAGAGAGCCACCCTTGTCCTGTTATCCTTTTAGGGGATGCTCTCTCTTCTCTGTTCCCTGAGCCCCTCTCCCTGACTCCTATATTCTTGATGACTTTCCTTATTTTGGTGATCTCTTTGCAAATAGCTTTTTGTCTGATTCTTTTCTCATACATGCTGGACACTGTATGTTTCAGTCAGACAAAAAACACTCTACAGTATGCTTGCCAAAGGCAGGTAAAGAATTATGGGTTACTGTAGGTACTGGAAGCCACTTAAAAGGATGTGCATGCTTCACAGGCACAGCTTTTTCAACCCCTGCTGCCTCAAATCTTTTTTGTAAGAGGAAGGTGAAGTGAGACAGGTTCATGCTATTGAATTTCACTTTTACTTGGCATTGTTGTTTTAAAGGTTTTTACAGTTACTAAGATTCCCTTCAGTCCTCTCTATGGTAGTATGGTAGTACGTCACTTCCTTTGCATCTGACTGAAATGACAGAAATTGTCAGCCAGGATGCTCAGGCTTTGTATTTGGTGGTTGTGTTCCCTGACTGCTGCCTTCAGCTTTACAAGCAAGCCTAGCACTTGTCATCTCTTTCCCAACAGGCTCCAGAATAAATAACTTGTGTGGGTTGTAGAAGGAAGCTCCTGTACTCTCTGCTCGCCTTGAAGACTTGTTCAGAGGGGAAACACCTGCGGTACAAATGCAGCTGTGTAGCTGGGACCTGGCTCTCGTTCACAGGGGCTGCCGCCATGTGCGGGCTGGCTGAAGTGGTCCTTGTTCCCAGGGGCTGCCATTCTCATGAGGTGCTGTGCCTGTTCCTGCGCCACCACAGGTCACGTGTCTGTGTGGTGTGGCAAACTGCCACTGGTTTGTGTACCTTCACGTGCTGTGAACTGCTGAGGCGGAGGGCTCCGATTTCCCACTTTTGTTCAGTTTAGTTGAGGTGGCTAACGAGGTGGCTCTTATTTTACTCATCCGAGCTGTGGGAGATGATGTTCTCTTTAGCTGCAACGGCTACATCTGACAGGAGGGTACATGGTGAACTGGTTTTCATGAAGCAGGAGATACAGCCTCCTGATCAAGCCTGTTGCAAACACAGAAGTAACTCCAGTAAGATTTATAATGTAGGCATTGCCTGGGCTTGATGTGGGTACAAAGATGAGCAGATCTATTGCAGTGAATGGACGAGTATAGTTTTTATTTGAGACTGACAAATGCTTTACAGTTAAAAATGGCATGTGGATACTCAGTGTATGTTAACTTGTCATGTGTGGCTGATGTCATCAAAAGTAATGTGACACAAACCCCCAAATTTTACAAACAGTCCAAAAGTCTGGAATTTGATTCAGTCATCTTTCAGGAATGTAAGAATTTTTATTCTAATAGATGCAGATTCCTAGTTTTCTCTTAGGAATTTGTTTGTAATTTCATCTTGCTGCTAAGGTAGGACTTGAAAAATCTGTATGATGTCTTCATGATCCTGCCAGCTCATCTGAGACTTTAAATGTGTAAAACTCAGAGGAGGCTGCTGTAGGTAAATTTTGAAGTAGTGAGCACCTTCACATGCTTCAGATTGTAGACAGGACTTAAGACCTCATAGCAGTGATAAAAACCTGCCACTTATACCTCATTTTACATTTACTACAATACAGAGTTGTATCACAGAGGGGACTCGGCACATGCCAAACAGGCTTTCCTTGCTTAGGGAGTTTGGTTTAAGTGGACAGGTCACTTGCTTAGACATGGTGGGAACAGCACAGTTCGTGTTTGTAAAGAGTGTTCTAGTTTTCCTATTGCAGCTTCTTTCTTTCCCTAGTATCCCTGTAACATGTAAAAACATTCTTTTATATGAAGAAAAATAGTGTGCCTAACTTCCCCTTCCCTTCCCCTTCCTTATATGATGACTCTCAACTTTTTGGTTTTCTGTTCCTTTAGATCACCAAGTCAAACTTAGTACAATCAGGATAATGAGCCTCAATGTGTGTAGCGTTGCAGTAGGACTTACTATTTTCCCAGAGCACTTGGTTCTTGGCAGGAGAGCAGGGTCTGTCTCATCTCTGAGCCCTTTGCTTCTGCCTTCTGTTGATA